GCATCATAATTTTGTGTTTAATATATTGTTATTGTTTTATGCATGTATTTTATTTGTCGGCTCCTAACAAGTTCCCTGATAAAATAATAGCTCTGAACAATTACTATCTTTAAATATTACTATGCTTTTGAACTGTAGAAAGATCAGGCTGATTAAGTTTCGTAGGTAAGTAAGTGTAATACTTAATATATTTATTATTTGTTTATATATTGCGTTGACCAGATTTATTTGATAATTTACTGTTGGTATCTTTCCTTGGGTTTGATCTCTGAACCTAAATATCTTTTCTTATCTCTCTTCTTTCCTAAGGTTTTCTTAATTTTCTCCTTAACCCCAAAAAATTGAGTGGCGCCCTGTTTCTATCTTCTCTTATCTTTGGTAATTTTACCCGTCTATCTTTTTGTTTATTTCTGTATCTTTTCTAATATCTCTTATCCTATCTTTACCTATTTCTTCCGTTGGATCCATTCCCGGTTCCAAAAGCTAGTTTCGAACCCACAACTCGCTCTCCACCAACCATCTGGCTGCCGTCCGCAGTGTCTCCATTGGTTATCTTTCTAGCACCACCCAAAAAAGATTTCCGAGGTTACACAAGATAGATTAATCGATACAATACCAGCCCGTTCCCCCAGTGCGATAGAGAAAACTGATGCAAAGCAGTCCCTGCATTTCTTTCTGAATTGCTAGGTTTATCGACTACGTGACCTAAATTACTAATGAGAAGGTCAGTAAACCAGGCTCATTAGAAAAAGATGCAGAGACTGCTTGAGCTTTGCGTCAGTTTCTTCTGTTGCACTGGGGGAACGCTACTCTATTGCAGCAATCAGTCTACCGTGTATTATACGTCTATGGCTGAAATATGGACTAAATATGGCCTCGTATCCTATTCTTTAGCCTTGTCCAAAATCTTTTACAGACAATTTAATTTTTTTACAACTGGCAACATCGCATTATAGTAAGACTACAATAAAAATAATTTTGCTATAAATTACATGTAGAAAAATTTCAGAAATCAAAAGTTACGTTGGTGTACATTCGTGTCAATACTGATTGGCGTAAAAAGCTTTTATTTTTAATGACAGTTTAAATCAGTCTCTCAGACTCCACGTCATCCATTACATTCCTAACAGAGGACATTATCGGTTATGTTTAATTATGATATTTTTGGATTTACCTACACATTATTGCAAATGTCCTAACAACACAACCAACAAAATTTAAACAGAAACACAATCATTTTTATAAAGAGGAAATAAATCATTATATACAAAACAGCAAAATATTTATAAAGGATTAATATGTTTAATATAAACTTTACAAATAGAGAATTGTTAATACAAAAAATACGCTAAACTGAATAATTTTAAAATATATTTTTTATAATACTGGTACTGAAGTTAGATACGAGAGATGTTGATAATTTTTCAGATAATTTCAGAAAGGGATGGTCTGAAGCATTGTGATTGTCTGGTGACTCCAGTTTTTAACTCAAGTTAACACACCTCGATCCAATGAATTGTTACACCTGAACGTACTTCTTAGTAGTAAACTTGTCTCACAAGCTAGATTTAATTAAATTATTTCATTACTTGTTTTGACCCAGTTTGGTCCTTTCGCAAGTCTTTCTGATGAAAGGTAAACCTTGAAACACGTGTAGGAGAATGGCGATAAATTCAAATTAAATCGAAACGCAACCGTGTATATATATTTGTTTTAAAAATCAAATAGTCCACATTTTTTTCCTGCTATTACAAAATTAGATTTTGTAGAAAAGATTTTGAGTAGTCTTTATCTTTCTTTAATAAATTCTATATTTTTAACCATGGTTACAATAGTTATTAGAGTTGTGTACAATTATTGTACCTTAAATGGCGACTAATGGTTTTAGAAGCCGCTTCTTTTTACGTGATACTTATCTGATCTCTAGAAAAAATACCCAAAGAAGATGTCATATTTGTACTGGGAGACCTCAACGCCCAGATTGGAAAAGAGGACTTTTTACAGAAAATTGCAGGAAAGCATACAATACACGAAAACACGAATGACAATGGACAAAGACTATGTAACCTTGCAACAAGAGCAAATTTGTTAATAAGCTCGACAAAATTTGAACACCCTAAAATACATAAGGTAACATGGAGGTCACCGGATCAGAAAACATATAGTCAAATTGATCACATAATGATTAATAAGCGAAAACAATTGTCAATAAAAGATGTAAGAACGTTCAGAGGTGCGTGTGCAGATTCAGACCACTACATGGTCACAGCCATTATAAGACAAAAAGTTAAAATTGAAAGAAACCAACATAAAAAGTGGAATGTCAATAAATTGAGTAATGAAGAAGTAAGAAAAAAATATGAAGAGGCAGTAACAGTTCAAATAACAGAGAAATATAAAGCAGAAGATATAAGCACAGAATAGGAGACGATCAAAAAATCAACAGAAGAAGGTGCAAATATGCAGATAGGTAAAAGTCAGGCTAAAACAAAAAACGAATTGTATAACCAAGAATGTAGAGAAATAACAGGAAAAAAGTGCAAGCCAGAAATAAATGGCTAAGAACAGATAAAGAGGAAGACAGAGAAGAATATGAAAAATTAAGAAGGGATGCTAAGAAAGTGATAAGGCAAAATAAAAGAAGATGGGTAGACAAAAAAATGCAGGAAATAGAGCAGGAAAGAACAAACAGAAATTCGAAAAGTTTTTACAAAAAGATAAAAGAACAAAACAAAAAATACAAGAGCAAAACAAACGGAATAAAAAATAGAGAGGGAATAGTGATAATAGAGGACCAAGAATACAAGCAAGTATGGAGAGATTATTACAGAGAGCTCTTGACGGAGGAAACAACAGAAGAAGAAATGCATGGCGAGAAGGAAACAGTACACGAAGAAGAAGCAAATGAAGTAGACATCGAAATTTCAAAAGAACCAACATTAGAGGAATTGGATGAAGTTATACAGAGAAGCAAAAATGCAAAAGCCCCAGGTAAAGATGGAATTAATATGGAACTAATAAAATACGGGGTAAGGGAACTAAGAGGAAAAATACTGGCACTATTGAAAAATATATGGAAAGAAGAGAAAATGCCAGGTGACTAGGAGGTAGGACAGATCATAACAGTACATAAAAAGGGAGACCAACAAATCTGTGAAAATTATAGAGGAATAACATTACTAAATACAACATATAAAATATTGACATCAATAATAAAAAAGAGGTTATCAAAGATCACAAAGAAGACAGTAGGACAGTACCAATGTGGATTCACAGAAGGAAGATCTACAATAGATGCAATACACACAATAAAACAAATAATGGAAAAAGCAAACGAGTATAAATTAGAACTGGAAATGTTATTCATAGACTTCAAACAGGCATTTGATTCTATTAAAAGGAACGTATTAATGACAGCACTTAAAAAATTAAAAATTCCACATAAACTAAGAAAATTAATAGAAATGACAATGAGAACTACAAAAATAAGCATAAAGACACAAAGAGGAGAGACAGAGGAATTCAGTATAAATAAAGGGATGAAACAAGGAGATGCCTTATCAACAACGCTATTTAATCTAGCATTAGAATATGTACTGCGAAATATAAATAAAGGAAATCTCAGAACAAGAGGTGGTCAAATAATTGCATATGCAGATGATATTGCTATTATTGCAAAGAACAGAAAAATAATGAAAGAAATGCTTGAAGAAATAAGAGAGAAAGGGAGGTAATGGGGCTAAGATTAAATCAAGAAAAGACAAAAATATTAAGATTAGGGAAAAAACCAATAAAGGAAAAGATCAAAATAGGAAGTTCCGAGTTTGAAGAAGTAGAATACTTCAAAGAAAAAATATTAGCAGCGAATAAAGCTTATTTTGCAAACAAAAGTTTACTTAAAAGCAAAACACTGACTAAACAAAGCAAGATGAGCATTTATAACACCATAATTAGACCAATATTATGATATGCAGGTGAAACAATGACGATGGTTAAAAAAGATGAAGAAGACTTAAGAATTGCAGAGAGAAAGATTATGAGAACCATACTAGGACCAACCAGAACAGAGCAAAATGAATATAGAAGCAGAACAAATGCAGAAATTAAGGAAGAACTTAAGGAAGTTATCGTAACTAAAATAAAGCAATGCAGAGTTAGATGGTTAGGTCACATTTGGCGAGCAGGCGATGAGGCAGTGACATACGCAATGATAGAATGGAATCCAGGAGGAAGAAAGAGAAGGGAAGACCGAGATCAAAGTGGCTGCAAGAAGTTGAAGAAGACCTCCAAAGGGCAGGAGTCAGTGAATGGAGAGGAAAAACTAGAGACAGGAAAAAATGGAGAGATATTGTCAAGAAGATAAGATAAACAAAAAAAAGACTGATCCACTTAAGAAATAGGATCTAGAAAGCATTTGCGGTTTACCCCCACGCTGGGGTGTATAGCCATTATATTATATATATATATATATATATATATATATATTATATATATATATATTATATATATATATATATATATATATATATATATATCTGATCTCTGTACTTATTTTTGGTTACTAGAGATCCTAAGTATGTGAACTCGACTACACGTTCAAAGTTGTGAAAATCTGTATGAAAGGAGAGCATATATTTAGTTTTACTTGAATTTACTGCAATCCTACTTCACGTATCTTTTAAAGTCTTCGAAAGATTCTTATCTTAGTCTTAAACCACCATTTAATATATTACTGAATCATAATAATAGACACATCAAATATCAACATCTTCTGATATCTTTACAAAACCAACAGGCCAATGTTTATACATAATTTTTCATAATTACATAAATTTTAAGAAAGTTTATAACACTATTTCGACATGTGTCTAATTTCTTAGTCTTTGACTATTAAGAGAATGTGTTTGTCATCTTAAAAGTCAAACACTATTAATTTATTTCAAAAACACTTTTAACACAACGTGAATTATAACATTAAAAGTTTTTTAACAATATTAATATCAATGATTCAAATCTGTAGTGCTACCAGGAAGTGAAATTCTTTCAATTTCAGACTTAATAGTCGCTATAAGGTTAACGGCAGGATCGCTAGGATTAAACTTCCCTTCTGCCAAAATATGGTCGACGTTTACTCTTGGGTAAGGGTTGATTATTCCTGCGCTCAAGGGTCTTACCAATGGGGACGGTGCTGTGCTTGACCACGCTCCTTTGGGAGCACCACTGGGAGGTTGGTCGACTTTTCGAAGATCTGTTGTCCTGGGTCGAGGTTTTGGAGTGGGAGCTTTTAAATCATCTGTCGACCTAGAATATATTTTAATATGATATGAATCGAAAACATGATCTGAACAATATATTTTTTAAAATATACTAACATCTATTTTGACTTTTTGACGAGAAAAAAAAAATTACTATTTATAACTGGGAATAAGCCACAATTAAAGATAAAAATACGTTTATTGACGTTTCAATTTCCACTTCGGAAATCGTTCTCAAAATACAAACAGTAAATTAAACAAATTTTGTTTGTTGTTACATAGTGAAAAATTCTTCTAATAATTTAATTTTATCTGACTCATTTATATTGACAATTCAGACATACATTATGCATTTTAAAGTAGACGACTTTAAAATGATATTGCCAATATTGTTGAGTTGCGCTCCTGGGACGACTTTACTTATAAGATAGTTCATTCGATTACATGAAATCAACTTTAACTTGAGAATATCCGTCAAAAAAAATCATAGCATGTAATTCGTCTTTAAAAAGACAAACACATGACATGATGACAGTAAAATTCTCCTGTTAGTGATTCCATAGTAAATTATGAGGGAAAACCAGGAAAAAAACCTCATAATACTATCCCGACATTGTAAGTATTTGTTCGTGAATTTAGTTTACCTTCAACAAACATCAAAATTCTGATTTTATATGTTACGTTATTTAAAAAACATAAATGATGTATCCTCTATATGTTACTGACTTACTAATACTGGTATTTTCTTATTAATAACTTCCTCTTTCAATATTGGTAACCAGATCCTACTACATTCTGCCGAGGAATTTGCGACACAATTGGCCTCATTTAGCATAATTAGAGCCGCTTCTTTGATTTTTCTTTTTTTACTATCCGTTTCTTTTAGGACTACATTTGAATTATTCCATTGAACCCTATGTTCATTACCCCATGCGTGTTTACAGATTTGAGATCTATCCTCATATTATTCCTTGTGTATGCTGTAGGATCTCGTTCTAAGTTGTTCTGTTCTATTCGATCGATTGTTGAAAATTCCTTATTGATAAACGATAAAGGATAATCATTTTTTAATAAAACAGATGTTAACAAATGTTTCTCCTCCAAGACCGAATTTTCGTTAGAGCAAGTAATTTTGGCTCTATCGTATAAGGATTTAATTATTCCCTTTTTTACATTAATATTATGATTTGATTTGAAATTTAAATATCTATTGGTGTGTGTTGGTTTTCTATACACCTGAGTCTCATATCCAGTATCGTTCTTAGAAATTAAAACATCCAGGAAAGGTAGCGTGTTATTATATTCTAACGAAAATTCGTTCTTGGAGGAGAAACATTTGTTAACATCTGTTTTATTAAAAAATGATGATCCTTTATCGTTTATCAATAAGGAATTTTCAACAATCGATCGAATAGAACAGAACAACTTAGAACGAGATCCTACAGCATACACAAGGAATAATATGAGGAAAATAACAATACCGTACATAAAAGGACTATCAGAAAAACTTAAAAGGATAGGAAATAAATTCAACATTTCAACAACATTCAAAACAACAAACACGTTGAGATCTATTTTGTCCAAAACCAAACCTAACAATGAACAAGAAAGGACAAAGAATTGCATTTATAAAATACCTTGTGAATGCGATCAGTTTTATTTAGGTGAATCATCAAGGCCATTAAATGTTAGAATAAGTGAACATCAATCTTATATTAAAAATAGAGAATTTGATAGATCTCAAATATGTAAACACGCATGGGATAATGAACATAGGGTTCAATGGAATAATTCAAATGTGGTCCTAAAAGAAACGGATAGTAAAAAAAGAAAAATCAAAGAAGCGGCTCTAATTATGCTAAATGAGGCCAATTGTGTCGCAAATTCCTCGGCAGAATGTAGTAGGATCTGGTTATTAATATTGAAAGAGGAAGTTATTAATAAGAAAATACCAGTATTAGTAAGTCAGTAACATATAGAGGATACATCATTTATGTTTTTTAAATAACGTAACATATAAAATCAGAATTTTGATGTTTGTTGAAGGTAAACTAAATTCACGAACAAATACTTACAATGTCGGGATAGTATTATGAGGTTTTTTTTTTCCAGGTTTTTCCCTCATAATTTACTATGGAATCACTAACAGGAGAATTTTACTGTCATCATGTCATGTGTTTGTCTTTTTAAAGACGAATTACATGCTATGATTTTTTCTGACGGATATTCTCAAGTTAAAGTTGATTTCATGTAATCGAATGAACTATCTTATAAGTAAAGTCGTCCCAGGAGGGCAACTCAACAATATTGGCAATATCATTTTAAAGTCGTCTACTTTAAAATGCATAATGTATGTCTGAATTGTCAATATAAATGAGTCAGATAAAATTAAATTATTAGAAGAATTTTTTCACTATGTAACAAAAAACAAAATTTGTTTAATTTACTGTTTGTATTTTGAGAACGATTTCCGAATTGGAAATTGAAACGTCAATAAACGTATTTTTATCTTTAATTGTGGCTTATTCCCAGTTATAAATAGTAATTAATTTACAATGCCACAAGAAAATAGCTTCAGAACAATATTGAGAAAAAAAAAATGAAAAAAATGAAAAAAAAAATCCAAGTTAGACCGTAAAACGTCTATTCCTGAGAAAATGAAAAAGAAACTATAGTGAATGTAACCGTATAGCATTTTTCTGCAAATTGCAAAGTTTCTTGAAATTGTTACTATTGCTCAGAATGTTATCTTGCCCAGTCTACATATGCATGCATAGTTCATATCCAAGTAGATAATAATTTATCCTTCTTCTTAACGTACCCTTGACGTTGGCGATTAACATGGCGAAACTGTCTCTGTCTCGAGCTATTCTAAAGAGTTGCTCAGCTTTCCTTATTTCTGTCCACTCCCTGATATTCTTCAACCAAGAGGCCTGCTTTCTACCAATTCCTCTGCGTCCTTCTATTTTATCCTTAACTCATAGAATTATTCCACCTCTCCTTCTGGTTTATCGATGGTTAGAGCATACACTTGTAAAACATTTAATTTGACCAGAGTAGTATTCAGTTGGATTATTATTAATCTTTCAGAAACAGGTATAACATTTGTAACAAATTAACATGATTGAGGAGATACGATTACTGCACCCCATACATATGTCGACCGTCATCATTTCCCGAGTGGTATACTATATGGTTTTCAATAATACAAGCACCACTATTTGACCAACTCATTTTGCTTATGCCCATTATACCTACTTCAAAACTGGTCATTTCTTAAATGGTGTTATGAAGTTTTCTAGCGTGATACATTGTATTTACATTCCAAGTACATATTTTGATAATCAACTTCAAAGTTTCCAGAGACAATTTTACAGTTTTGTCACAGGGGTTTCTCTGAGTTACGACCTTGGAGACCCTGTGATCTAGAGGTAGATCACCTCCCCTACCGAATCTTGACTTCCTTATTCCATGATTAGTAGCTGTTTTCAAGCTTTTCGTCTGGTTTCTCGTTGCCTTCTGCATTCTGATGCCGTTGACCACTTTCTAGGTTCTTCTGCCTTCGTGACCAATTTCTTAATCTCAGGACAACAGAGTGCCCTTCCACTTAAAAGCTCATCGGCCCGAAACGGTTGACCAGTAAATTGTGGATTACTTATGCCGAGGGTGCTTCAAATAAATCTTATTGTAGGCTAGTAAAATCAGGATATAGTCCGGATAGTATGGGCACACATGTTACTTGCTGAAAGTTTTTCAGCTTTAATGGCTAATAGCAAAAAAAAGGTATAAAAATTTGTGGACAACGCTTGAACCATCTAAGGTACGCTGATGACATCGTATTGATAACCGATAAAAAAGAAGAATTATTTGAAATGATGAAAGAACTGGACGTAGAAGCTGGAAAGATAGGCCTTAATATGAATTATAGCAAGACCAAAACTATAACAAATACAGATGAAGACATCACAATGAGAATCGGACAAGATGAAATAGAACAAGTTAAGGATTATATATATCTTGGTCAAACTATAACACTTATAGTGTATTTTTATGTATGAGAGAGTAATAAAACAATAAATTATGTATGCAAATCCCTAAACTGTTGATACGGGTGACTCAATGAAAAACAGATATTTGTCAACAAGTTTACAGAAGTATATAGGAAAACAATTTTAAATTGAGTATGACCACCAGGTATAAAGGTTGGAGCAGAATAGAATACAACAGTTGTGAGGGTTACTAATCCCTAAATAAGGTTGCCAGTGTCGGAGTGATGGAGGTTAACAGGTACTAATGAATTTGCAAGAAATAGATGTTTATTTTATTGGTTATATAATATATCCAATAAAAGTTTAATAAGTACCTACCTATTTGCAAAATAAAGTTTAATTCTTTAGATAAAATAAAACGTTTTATTTTATTAGAAATGAGTGCATTCCACGAAGTAAGGATTTCAACAATCAAACATTTAATTCTTTAATTCCAGGAATCTACGACAGTAATTGACTAGATAATTACCTTCTAAATTTATTCCACAGAAAATGTGATAGTGGGTTTTTCCATTTTGTAGGAAGGTCCAAGTGGCGTATTCAAAATTCTTAACAGTTCACTAAAAGTAGGTACTTCAGTTGCAAGGTGCAGTTTATTGTGTATACTAGTGTTAAGCAAAATTTGGAAGTGCCGAAAAATTAGTCCTTTAACAGTTAATGAAAAAACATTAATATTTAATTGTTTTAAATCATTTACAGACAAACGTTTATGTGAAAGTGTTGATGAGACCGTTGAGTTAGTTAGCAGTACACTTGGTGTTGGGAAATCTACGATTTACAGAGTTATTAAAGAAGAGAAATGTGGTAGTTTTCAAATGCCACGTAATGCTCCAGGGAAACCAAAATTTTAAATAGAATATCATTTTAAAGAAGTACTTCGACGGAAAGTGCATGAATTCTTCTTTAGACAAGAATTTCCAACATTGGATAAAGTTCTTGTCTCAGTTCGAGATGATAAGGATTACCCAGAAATGAGTCGAAGTACGTTATGGAAACTTTTAAAAGAAATAGGCTTCCGCTGGAAAAAGAATCCCAAAAAGTCTATTTTATTAGAAAGAAGCGATATTGTCATATGGAGAAGACATTTTCTAAGAACCATAAAGGAAATGAGAAACCAAAAAAGAAAAATATTTTATCTTGATGAAACATGGATCAGCGAGGGTCATACACCAAATAAATTTTGGCAGGATGAAACTGTTACAAGTCAAAGGCACGCTTTTGTAAATAACTTATCTACTGGTTTAAACCCACCATCAGGAAAGGGACGCAGGCTGATAATAGTACACATTGGCAGTTCAGACGGTTTTGTTGAAGGTGGTTTATTAACTTTTGAATCAACTCGTACCGGTGACTACCATGAAGACATGAACGCTGATGTCTTTCAAGAATGGTTCGAACAACTGATAGATCTTCTTCCTAAGAACTGTGTAATAGTAATGGATAATGCAAGTTATCACTCCAGACTTATAGAAGGACTGCCCACAACCAAGTGGTTAAAAAAAGACTTGCAGAATTGGCTGAGTTCAAAAAATATTACGTACCATCCCGGATCTATAAGAAAGGAACTTTATTCGTTGTGTTCCCTTCATAAAGAAAAATTTAAAAAATACGAAATTGATGAAATTGCCAAAAATCGTGAAATGACAGTACTTAGATCCCCACCATATTATTGTGAATTAAACCCGATTGAACTGGTATGGGCACAGATAAAGAGTGAAGTTTCAAGAAAAAATACCACTTTTAAAATTCATGATGTTAAACAGTTGTTTTTGGAGGCCGTAAATAATGTAATACCTGAAAACTGGGAAAAAGCAGTAAATCACACTATTAAAGAAGAGGAAAAAATATGGAAGCTGGACAATATTACTGATAAAATGATCGAGCCAGTTATTATAAATCTTGGTTCTGAAAGTTCATCTTCTGAATCTGATTTGGATTTGTATTAAGTAGCTGTAAGTTTTATATTAATATTTTTATTCATCTATTTAACATACCTTAGACGGTTTTAAAAACTTTTTTCTCTTTTGTAATTTTTAAAAATTAAAAAAATGTGAATTTTTTAAAACCCTTTCTAATGTAGGCCAGTCAGTTCTAATATAGTGTATGATAAAAGAGGTCACTTTTGTTTACATACACATAACATTTTATAACACTGAAATAATTCATTTATTTTTTACAATTATTCAAAGTAATTTTTCAATTAATCTTGAGCACGCCCATGGAGTGGTCGGAGGTACCAGTTAAAATTATGCTAATTACTCTCTCGTTCATAAAAATAAACTATAACAAAGAGAACCAAACAGCAAAGATCAAGAGACGAGTTAGACTGGCATGGGCGGCATTTGGCAAACTAAGCTACATTCTTAAAAACAAAAGATATCCACAGCATCTTAAGACCAAAGTATATAATCAATGCGTACTCCCTGTTCTTACTTATGGTTCCCAAACGTGGACATCTACAAAAGCACACATGGACGAAATCATAAAAACCCAAAGAGCAATGGAAAGACAAATGTTGCACATAAGACTAATGGATAAGAAGAAAAACGAGTGGATAAGAGAGAAAACAAAAGTGAGGGATGTTAGACAAGAAGTTGCAAAATTGAAATGGAGATTTGCCGGACACAATATAAGACAAAAAGAAGACCGATGGAACAAAATTTTATAAGTTGGAGACCGTGGGAATATAAACGAAGCAGAGGAAGGCCCCAAATGAGATGGGCAGATGATATCAAGAAGCAAGTGGGCTCTAGATGGATGACTGTAGCGACAGACAGAGAAGAATGGAAAAGGATTGGGGAGGCCTATGTCCAAAGATGGACCGAAGAAGGCTAATTAGATAGATAGATAGAGCAAAAAATGGTCCCTAATAACTTTTTTTCCAAATTTCATCGCTTACGAGTTATAAACAATTTATGGGTTTATAACTCGTAAACTATTATGAGAATAGTGTTCCTAAAATTTTAACAATCTAGGAAAATGCCTGATTGTTTCCCAAATAGGAGTGAATAGAAAGTATGGTAAATATTTGGTAGTCAATGAAATGATACATAATTTAAAATATACCTACAAACCTGTTAACAGCCGAATGACTCTTGACTTCGCTAGGGGCAACCCTAGAATGGGGATCATGTCTTTTCTTTTCGACTGGACTGGTTTTTCTGCTACCAAAAAGACTAAAAGTATCATCCAGAAGATCGTGAAACCTTTTCCTCATTTTGGTAAGGTTTGTAGAAACGTTAAGATCATTTATGCCTTCGTCTACGCTTACACCTGAAAACAGAAATAAACATTTTTATTTAATATCTAGATTTAAGTCATAAGGCTTAGATCTAGATATTAAATAGGCTTCCTCTTATTACTTTCATTATTCAAAAAATGCACTTATCCTAGATACGTAGATGTAGAATCAGAACTGAGCTCTGTGAGGAATTTTTCCATATTTTTTCCATATCAGGTTTACGATGATGTAGTATGTTGAACTATCTCCCAACAATTTAAAGATTTACAGGTGATACCTCGCTTAAAAACTTTAGAAATACTAGCATCAAAAACGATTTAATGCCATAATTTCTAATAGGTCACGAAGGAAATTTTTAACGTAAAAAATGTGGATCATTCTTCTCTAAAAAATAATCAATATAATCATATCTTACCGTGGCTGATTCTTTCTTTGTGCATATTCCACACAATTGGTCCAATTACGCCTGGATCTTCTACTGCTCCTAAACTAGCATGCCGGGCCAAGCCTAATCGTTTATACATTTCCATATTATCATCTTCCCTAAACTCATCGTCTGGAATATCTAAATGATGAATACTGACCGGCTCCAGAACTTTATTGAGTGGTTCTGGAATGCTGACCCTACAAAAAGGAAAAATATAAATACTAACACTTTTTGTACTGTTGATGTCTTTTTCATACTGTATCTACTAGAATGTATTGTATATATTATTCAGTTTTTATTATTTATTTATGTATTTATGTATGTATGTATTCAGCTCTTCTCCTTTGAAAATAAACCATCACAAAACATGCACTCTGCGTCATGGCTTTCTGAAATGTTACCTATTAGTTCTAGATCATGATCTTCACCAGCTGGTACAAAATCTACTGTTTTTCTCCTGACTTTTTGTTTACTAATTTAGAAATAGCAAAGGCCTTCCTTTTTGCTTTCCTTTCTGTATAGCTCTTGCAGCTGCTTTTTACAATGAGATCTCCAACTCTTGTTTGTACGGCGAAGTTATAATTTTTATAATTTTTGATTTCTACCTTTTGTTTTCTTTTTAATAGCTGGTAAAGGTGACATGTGAAATGGAGAAATAAACTTACCAGTTTTTGCTACATATTTTTTTTTTGAACAGCTAGGAAAATCGTTTTTACTGCATCCCGGTTGCGACTTAATGTCAGACTATCTAGTTCATCTGCTGTAGATATTCTACTGGACTTTAAGGCTATTTTGGTTCTTGCAAATTTTTCTAAATAAAAATTTCTAGAGTTTCTCTTTAAAAAGTTTTCTTTTATATCTTTTATAAAATAACTCTATTTAATTCAAATTAAAGTTACAATTTATAATAAATATAATTTTTATATTTATTATAAATTGTAACTTTGATTTGAAAAGATTTTTCCTATATTACATAAAAAATCTTTGTCACAGTAAACTTCACATAATAATGTTTATCTTATTTAAATAGTTAAATAATAAGAGAGATAACAGGAATAGTGGCACAGTATATTTACTAAATAACTATTGTATATTACCTTGGAAACGATTTTACTGACGGCATCGACAAGTACGACTTAGGACTAACCACCCCTGGATCCATGTTTCCTCCATATATCGTATCTGGCGATTCTTTCCTGCTACTATCAGAATCGAATAGTTCTGAAGGAAATCTTCGAACTTCGATGGGAACCGTTCTATTTAAGGCTGCTCTTGGCCGTGGAGGTTTCTTCGGTGGAGTTCTGCGGTGTTTCTTAACCGCCATCAAGGGTGATATGTCCAAACTGCCTGAACTAAAATTAAGAATTTTTTATTAAATTTTACTTGCGCATTATTTAGCCGTCACAATTCATAATAAAGATGAGATTATATAGCTAGTCAAATTATATGGACTTACATATAACAAATAATTTAATTTTTATTCATCTCTTGTCTTCTTTATCATTATGAAATAATAATGGTGGGTAAAGGGTTAAACAGAGAAGCAAAGAAACAAAAATAAGAACTGATTTCTTCTTCTTATGCCCTATCTAATTAGTGGATGTTAACGACAAGTCTGGCATATTCTCTCGATCTTGTGTGGCTCTAAAGAGTGCATGGGCATCAAGTTTTGTCCAATAACTGATGTTTTTAAGCCATGAGTATTTCTTTCTTCCGATGGTCCGTCTATCTTCCCTTTCATAATAAGCTTTAAGAACTGGTACTTGGAATTTCGAAATATATGACCCAGATAAGCAGTTTTTCTTCTTTTTATTATTGGCAACAATTCACGTTCTCTGCCCATTCGATTTAATACTTCGACATTTGTTGTGTGATCTGTCCAGGGAATTTGAAGTAGTCTTATAAATACTCACATTTCAAAAGCCTCCAATCGGTTCATCACATTGGCTCTTATGGTCTAGGTTTTTACACCATATAGCCATCATCACCAATCAGCCAATCGCGTCCACTGCTGGACATAGGCCTGCCTCAGTTCTTTCCAGTATTCTCTACACTGAGCCGCTTTTAGCCAGTTTCCCGCTACACGTTTTATATCATCAGTACACCATATAGTAGTATGGAGTAAATGTAACATTTTACAAGGTTCTCATATGGTAAATGTAACATTTTTAAGGATGCTGTTGCTTAGCAAGATTCTCATATTAATACATGCTGTTCTGGCTTGTTCAATCCTGCTACGTATCTCTATGTTTGGATCTAGACTTCAGTTATCCAACTACCGAGATATCTGAACTTGGGGACCTTTTAGATATTCTTATTGTTTACTTATATTTAATTGCATATTTTGTCTTCTACTAACGACCATTACCTTCGTCTTGTCTATATTAATCTTCAAGCCCAGTCTTTCTCCTTCAGTGTTTATTTTATCAGTCGTTGTAGCGCTTCTTGGCTATCAGCTATTATAACTGTATCATCAGCATAACGAAGATTACTAATAGTCTGTCCGTTGATTTTGATTTAATCTTCAGTGTCACTTAAGTCTCTATCAAAAATCGTTTCCAAGTAAAGATTGAAAAAAAGGTGTCACAGAACACAACCTTGTCGTACACCTTTTTCGATTGAGAAATATGATGTAGATTCCAGTCCTACTCTCACAGAAGCCACTTGATTCATATAAAGGTTCTTTATGATTTTAAGGTCATTCTCATCTATCAAACGTTCCTGGAGCAATCTTACTAATTCTGAATGATTAACACAATCGAACGCTTTCTGGTAATCTATAAAGCATAGAAATATATACATCTTGTTACTGGACTCTGCATTTCTGAAGTAGGACAATTAAGCTATGAAGTGCTTCTCTTGTGCCAAATCCTTGTCTGAAACCGAACTATATTCTTGTGTAAATTATCTTTAAGAAGAGTTTTAGGATCTGGCTCAATAAGTTGATCATTCGGAATTGGTCGCAACTATTAGCGTTTGGCTTTTTTGGGATTGGTATAAAGTTTGATTGAAACCAGCCCTGTGGTACTTGACCAGACCCATAAATGTCATTAAAAAGATCTACCAAGGTGTCTATATTGTCTTCACTCAACATTGTTAGTACCTCTATGTCGTTGGTCCTGGTGCTTTTCCCCATTTGCTCTGTTTGATTGCCCTTACAATTTCTGACTTCAACATTTTGGGGGAGGTTTCACTTTTATATTCACTTTCAAAGTTTTTTCTAGTGTTGTCAGAGTATAGTTTCTGTGTGTAGTTTCTCCAATGTTGAAGTAGATCTTTTTGATCAGTAATTAATTTATTGTCAACAATGCTGTTAAAACTGCAAGGTTTTGTATGACCTGTCACTTCTTTAACGAGTTTATGTATGTTAATGTGGTCATGTTTTTCTTTTAATTCCTCCATTTCTGCACAACTGTCTAGCAGCCACTGTTCTTTAGCTTTGCGACATTCTTTTCGTATTTGTCGGTTAATCTGCTAATGTTTGGTTCTGTCTTTGTTTTTTAAATGATCTACGGCCGTTCATTATTGATAATATTTCGTCAGTTATCCAATTCTTCTTTTTCTACTTTTGTAAAGCGATCAGAGATTTGGTAGTGGTTTGGTTTCGCTAAGTTTTATGATGTCTAGGTTGCATCGTTCCATTTCTTGTATTATGTTGTGTAGTTTCACCGTCGATGTAAAGACTTTTAACGTTCCAATTACCCAGTTTTACCATTGGGGTTTTTCCCACTTTCAGGTGATTCCTAGCATTGTTTTTCTTCGAGGAGATTCTTAGCACCCCTTCTGATTCTTCACACCCAATGAACTGATATAAAAACTAGGAAATACAAAATTTTTTTTGCTGTTTATCAGAATACAGTTTTAAAATTGCAAGCACTTGAGCCACTTGGAGGTTACTCCAAGCATTGCCCTTCATAACGCTATGTTCTTTTCAAAAATTAACTAAGTAATGCTCAACATCCTTCATTTTTGTCTCTATAGCTTGCACTAAATATTTAATTTCACCATGCACGGTAGTAGACAGTTTTGAATTAATTGTTGATATTTCGCAGCATTTACGGTACCCTCAATAAAATCCAAATATCCTAACATTAAAACTGTCACTATAATCTAAAATAGTTTTTGTTGCACTTTACATATTATTATTTAAGACAAAATTAGTAAAATTATAAATACTATTCCGCAATTATTATCATATTTAGATATTAAAAAAACATAATGCGGTATTTTTGTATAAAGTTCAATGTCCTTCAGGTCAGTGTGAGTAGTGTAATGACAACACCACAGATACTTACCTATAATATGTGCCATGAGTTATTGTTAGCTCGTAATCGATTTTAACATTAGGGTTAAACATAATTATTTTGATTTTTTACCTATGACCAATGTTAGGAAGTGAACTATATAAACAACTGAATTACTTCCTTGTTTGTATTTTATTTGTATGACTTTTTATAACATTGTAATTTGTCTTATTGTCTTTTGTTATAGTTGTAAAGAGAAGCAAAAATATCAGTAAGAGGTGATACAAAATTATATTGCTTTTCTTTGTTAATTTGTGTACATGTAAACATGAGTAACATTAGTTTATTTTCTAGAAATGTTTTGAATGGTTCTATATACCTTTCATCGTCATCATATTTACCTCATCATTTCTTATTGGGTTTTAGCATGCTCAAAGCATTCTACTTTAACCTCCAATGAAGGTACGTTGTCTTTCCAGTTGGTTACATTCAGAATTTTCACGGAAAAGATTAGAGCGGTTATCGCTATGTTCCACTTATCGCAAGTTCGGGCTATTACTGCAATATCGTGTAGTGTTACTTTTTCATTTTTTGTAGATTATTTCCTAAATTATAACAGTTCTATATTCGAAATAAATATGAAAGAAAATAGTTTTGTTTTATATTTCTTCTACAATTATTTAAATTGTCGGTACTATACTGTATTGTAAAATCTTGATTTCTATTATAATTCTAATGTTAATAACAAAATTGAAGTTGATAATTTGATAACAAAAATTTTAGAGTTAATAATAATTTAAATAAAATACTTACCTAGTAGACACGGAACTAATTGAACTTTCTGGTCTCGCCACAGTACTTACGTTCCTCAGCAACGTTGAATTATCATTATTATATTTAACGTAAGTGGGCGAATCTCTTCTTTGGCTATCTATGGTAAACCCTTTATTATCTTGCCCTACTCCTCGTTCGAAAATATGCTGCCGATTTTCTATACCTACGTTGGTAGGACTACCTACTTTCCTTTTCTTTGCGCAACCTAGTATGAACGCTAGGATGAGAAGGAAGACCAAAAAGGCTACAATAGACACTCCGATGAACAGCCAGGTGTTTTTGGCGCCGGAAAGACCTTGAGGTTCGCTTGGTTTCAGGTATGCTAGAAAATAATTATTGGACATACAAATAATTTGCTACAGCTGTGTTTAGAAAATAGTATTTCAGATAAGTTATCTTTAAAATATTTTAGTCCAGAGATTAATAAGGCTATTACTGACCAAATACACCTTTTATAATGCCGTAGGAAATTTCGACACTAAGCAAGTAGCGACTAAAATTTAAGGGCAATTTTCGACAACAGCCCAAATTCCCGTTTTTATCATACAGGTATATTCGACACCAAATAAATATAGCTGCGACATAAATAAAATACCATAATTAATTAATTTATTTATTTTAATAAAAGTAATGTACATTTTATTTCTTTATAACTGTAATAATATCTAAATATATTACAACTAGTACCTAATTTTTGTACATTTTACCGTTAATATACTTGTATACAATGATTTATTTGCTATTATAGGAATGATAAGATATAGCTTTTATAAAATCTAACCTACGTATTTGTTGGGATCGTAGTTTATCCATCATTTTTCTCCAAAAATGCCAATTTAGCCTTAACAGTAGTATCTTTGATTTTTGTTGGTATATGTAAACTATTTATTTTGACATAAGTGTCTACTTGAAATTCTTTTAACTTTTCAATAAAAATAAAAATAGAAGGATGTGTTGAATAAAAAAAGAAGAATTAAATCTCGAATGAAAGGATTCATAGGCATTTGTGGTCCTCGCAATAGACGGATTCTGATTAGACCATAGTGTGGTGGAAATAAAGCGCTATCGAAAATGTAATTTTCCAGTAAATAATCTGCATATATATCAAGTGTTTGTATCCTTATATTCTTGTACCAAACCCAAAGATTGAATTTTTTTAAACCAGTTTTGGTGTAAGTGAAAACGGCATCCACTAATTTTTGCATTGGGCCACATATACAATAAAGCACAGTGAATTGCTTTTTCAAAGTCCACAAATATTTCAGTTGACTCTAATGATAATTGAAATGTTTCAAAAATCTTAGACCTTAATAAAGAAAATAAATTTTTGTATGTCATTGACAATTTGTCCTTTAACTAACAGTATGCTAAAGGAACATAATGTCCATTTTTCAAGCCATGTATAGTAAATAATTGTAGAAAATATTTGGTACTGTATGAAAATGTACCATCCATATACAAAGTTTTTAATTTACACAACAAACGAATATTTGTCTCGCATGAAAATATAATTACATTTAATTCAGGATGATTAAAAACAAAAAACTTTCATTGCGACAGGTTTTAGGAGAATAATTACTAACTGCGTTATGGACTTCTGATATGCTTCTTGGTAACGGACCTGGTAACAGTTTACGACGACAGTTGTAAATGTTCTTTCTTATGCTAGCTATGTCAGGAACTGTCCGTCAGCAAATTGGCATCACACTCAGCAACAGCAGTTCTTGTAATTTTGGCAGGCTTTTCCGATATGACCTCTTGGGCTTTTCTTTTACATGCATTGGTTACCATCTTTACTTCAAGCTTTTTTGGATCGGCTTCATGATTATGTATCAAATCACTTCTTGTAATGGTGAGGTCCTCACAGCCTATTGTAAACACTTTTGCGAAACACTTAGTGTTTCTTTGGAAGCAGCGCCAAAATATCTCGCCGCTTTTTAACACTTTCTGTTTCGAGAACGAATGATGCTCCACCACTAATAAATCTCGACCACGGGAACTTTTTATCAAACTCATTTTTTAAATATCCGTATACGTGCACAAGTCAACGTCAAACAAGAAATAAATTACAACTGAAATAATTTAGTCACAAGTACACAAGTGCCACGCTCCCCCGCTGTGAGAATAAATATTGGGAAAACCCGCTTGTCCTGCTTGGGTGCAAATGTCCATCGCCACTAATTACCTACCTACCTGCTTTTCGCCGCGGTGTCGAAATTTCCTATAATAAAATTTGACCCTTCGATTACTCCAGGTACAAAGACAATTTGGTGTCGAAAGTTCGCCCGCCGTTTTATACAAGTGGAGGCGATAATAGGAATTTTTGGAGTGGATTTTCTGGTACATGAAAACGTCGAGCAGGTAAAACGATTTGTAGCAAAATCTGACAGAATATGTGCAATTATAATTAAAGAAAAACAGAACATGATAAGGCTGATAAATATACACGCTCCAACAGAAGAAATTAGAGAAGTGAAAAATGAATTTTATGAAGAATTAGAGTCGTTGTCTAAAGAAATAAACGGAATAATAGAAATAAAAGGAATAAACAGCATGGCTCCTTTAAATTGTAGGTGGAGGATGGATGAGTTGTAGAATTCGAGAAGATGGATGAATATATGTACTTAGGTACTCTTATTGATCTGACATGTAAGGAAGAAACTGAAATCAACTTAAGACTGACCAAGAGTAACAAATATGCTGGAGCCATGAGCAAAATAATTAGGGCCAAAGATATATCTCGTAATACAAAAATAAGAGTATACAAAACTATAATTAGACCCACAATGCTATACTCTGCGGGGACATGAACTATGAACAAAACCATACAGAACAGATTGATAGCATGAGAAAGAAAGATACTTCCCAGAATGTTTGGCCGAAACGTAATAGAGGGAGAATGTAGAAGAAGAACTAATGTAGAAGTGTACCAAGTGTGTGCTAACTCTACAATAACAAAAGTAGTAAAAAACCATAGATTAAAATGGCTCGGAGCTCCAGAAAGAATGCAAGGTAATAAACTAGTCAAGAATATTACTTGGAGAATACCTGAGGGCAAGAAAAGAGAGGAAGACCAAGAAAGAAATAGGGAGACGTAGTGGAGGAAGATGTCAGATAGATGGGAATCAAAAATTGGAAGCTGATAGCTAAGAACAGAAAACCCTGGAAATTATTCATCCAGCAATGGACCTAAAGGCCTGTTAATGCTATACATACATAATATATTACTGACCAATATAAAGATTTCTGGATAAAAATGTTCATTTTGGAACTACAAAAAATATACAAAAATATTTTGACACTCTACTCCCTGGCTTTCGCTAAACACCCCCCCCTCGTAGGGGGAAAACGAAAAGAAATGTAGTTGAGATCATTTTGAACAAAAATATTTATTATCACTTTTTGTGTAGAATGAACTGTTCTCTCAGAAACAAAACTTAAAGCAACCGGCGATTTCGAATGTCAGTGACGCGCGCGAAATGAAATTTTTAAATCAATTTTTAATTTTTTTATCGTATCAATTAGACGGTAAAAATTCGATATCTTTTAATTAGAGGGTCATATCAACAAAAATCAAAATGCGTTTTAAAAGTAAAGAGTGTAGCTTTCGTAAGCAATACTTTGCATACAAAAGCTGCGATCTTCATCTTTAAAACGCAGTCTGATTTTTATAGATAGAACATTTTTATTAAAAAATATTTTTTTATTCAAAATTATGGGGAATTATGGAAAATCGACGATGAGAAGCGACGAAAACTCTAGTAACGACGATATAAATAGAATGAACAAGGAAGTATCAAGAGAAATCAGAAAAGACAGAAAATACTTAAGAAAATACAAAGATGAGAAAATCATCAAAACCATTGAGGAAAATAAGAGTGTGAAAATAATGAGACGAAACTCACAAATGGAAATAAACAAATAGTCAAACTCAAGGATAGAAATGGCAACATCACATCAAACAGAGAACATTTGTTACAAATTGTGGAATCATTCTATGAGACATTATATAGCAACCAATCGACTCTAGATATAGTCGACTATCAACAGAGGAAGGTTCAAAATCAGGGTTCCGAAGATATTCCAGAAATCTCCTTGAACGAAATTTACAAGGCCCTAAAAAAGATGAAGAATAACAAAGCTCCGGGGAGGACGGTGTCGTCACTGAAGCGATTAAGATAGAAGGCTCAGTACTGATAGCCAAAATTCAAAAGCTCTTTAATCTATGCCCATGGAATCAAAATATCCCAACAAAGTGGAATAATTCAATAACTGTACTCTTACACAAGAAGGGAGATGTAGCAGACCTGGAAAGATACAGACCAATCAGTCTCCTTAACCATCTTTATAAATTATACACCCGAATAATAACGAATAGATTAGAGACAAAGCTGGATTTTTACAACCTCGGGAACAAGGCGTTTGATACAGTGGAACTACCGTCCATCTTAAGAGCACTACAAGATTGCAGGATCGACCACAGATATTGTAATATAATTAAAAATATATATGAAAATGCCATAACAACCATAAGTCTATATTCTGCAACTAATAAAATAAAGATAAAAAGGGGAGTCAGGCAAGGTGATACCATGTCACCAAAGCTGTTCATTACCGTTCTTGAGTATGCATTTAAAAAACTAACATGGCAACAGAAAGGAATATCCATCGATGCAGAAAGATTAAACCATCTACGTTTTGCGGACGATATCGTGCTTCTGTCAGATAATCTGGGAGAGATCAAAGACATGCTCCAAGAACTGAATGACAAACTACAAGAAACTGGGCTGGAGATAAATTTCGAGAAAACCAAAATGATGACCAATATGGTTCCCAGCGAAGAGATACAGATCAATAACGACAAGGTAGAATTAATCGATAAATACACATACTTGGGTCATGAAATTAGAATAACCAGAGACAACCAAACCTGCGAGCTAAATAGACGAATCATGTTGGGATGGGCGGCATATGGACGGATGAGAGACATTTTTAAAACAAATATCCCAATTCACCTGAAAAGAAAGGCATTTAACCAATGCATCTTACCAGTCTTGACCTACGGAGTAGAGACCTTAACTTTAACGAAAGCTACTGCCGAAAAACTGAGGGTAACACAAAGGCGAATGGAGAGATCAATGCTGGGCCTGACCTTGAAAGATCGCGTAAGAAATGAGGAAATACGCCGACGAACTGGCGTAGACGATATTATACTGCGAATCAATAAACAAAAGTGGAGGTGGGCTGGACATGTTGCTAGAAAGGAAGACGGAAGATGGACGAAGAGATTATTGTTGTGGAGACCAAGAGCCGACAAGCGAAGTCGAGTCAGACCACCCACCCGATGGACCGACGACCTAAGGAGGATAGAAACAAACTGGATTGCAGCAGCTAGAGATAGAGAGAACTGGAGACGTTTGGAGGAGGCCTATATCCAACAATGGATGTGAAAATTCGGCTGGATGATTATGGAAAATCGAGTAACCAAAGAATCAATCTGCAAATCCGATAGCGGATGGTAAAATGTTATATTCACTCTATTCTTCTTTATGGTGTCGAAGCCTGAACTGTTAATGTTGACTTAATGAGGAAACTGGAAGCTTTTGAGATGTTTTTATTTTAAGGAGAATTCTGAAGATACCATGGACCAATCATATTACGAACGAAATGGTGTTGAACAGAATAGGAAGAGACAGAGAACTTTTGACCACCATTGAAAGGTGAAAGACCTCATATTTGGGGCGAATACTTAGAAATGAGAAGTACGAGTTGTTGCAGCTAATTATGAAGGGTAAAATCCGTGAAAAAGGGGGTCCTTGTAGAGGACAAATATCCTGGCTGAAAAAAATTCGCGACTTCATTTCATTCAACCTTCATTAGTGGAGACAGCACTACGAGAAGAAGAAGAAGATGGAAAATCGATGTTTTCTACTTCCTTGCGAGGGATATTTTAGTGGAAGCCCGAGAGTAGAAAATTTTTTGCATCATTTTTGGAATTTCAAAATTGGCATTCTCAGAAAAATTTAGCTTGTTCATTTTGCTTTTAGAAAGCAAATCTCTTAAAAGTTTTTGCGGAGTTTTGGTTTATTGCTTAGAAATACATATTTTAAAGCCTTGGTCGGCAGCATTGTGTTTAAAAAAAAATTAATTTTAAGGTTTCGTCATACTCACGCTCTGCTTTTATCAAAAACGGATACCCCAGCTCATTTCTAACTTCTTCATCTGACACTAAATTCATATCATTGGCAGCTACAATAGCTGACACTGGTTTGCCATCTAGCGATACATGATATAAGACCTCCGTTTTTGGATGTCCATTTGAAACGGTTGTATTTATCCTATGTATGTAGACTTTAACTGGCTTTTCTTTTATTTCACGTTTGCTTCTAGCATTCTCTATCCCTAAGTGTTTTTCTTGTTGTCTAAAAATCGCAATATTTTCAAAAATAATACATTGGATCTTACATTAAAACAAATTGGTAAATCATAAGTACATTGAAATCGATAAGATAGCAAAATATGTAGCTTCAACTGCTCTAGTTCTTTCTCCGTTAGATTTTTTATTATTGTTGAATTATTTTCGAGATAGACATCCTAGCTTGAGAAATACAAAACAGATGCAGTATTAAAAAATCACTGAATTGACGATGATCCCAAATGCTGGAAAAATAATCATGTAAAATTTGCTTTACAGACTTCTATGTGTTATTCACTTTTCTGTTAGACCAAAACTGTTCAAAAAAATATTCCTTAGGAAATTAAAACCTATAATAACAACAGGAATTGTTATAATTATCTATTTACCTACTTATGTACATCTACTATATACTTATGTAATACATATAAATGTGATTTTTATAGCATTCCATTATAGACACTGGCAAGACTGCATTAATAGAAGCAAGAATATTTTTGAAGGTAGCTTACGTGCTTGGTATAAAGACTTAAGCTGTAAATTTTAACAATACTTACCACAACAATACTCTAATACTAGATCTCAGAAAGGGATTTGATAGTAATATAAGGAAATTCCTATTCGGAAACTCTAAGATAATACTGTAGAAGTACCACGAGGAAATCTCATGTATCCAGTCCATTACCATAGCATTACCCGTGATGTGGTGGAGTGGACGAACTCGCTTCTACCGAACCTTCAAAGCTAGGTGGACTGTGGGGATAGCTGGATTATTACCTGACCTTTTAATGTAGTCTTTCGGATACTGTTACACACACGATGTTGTAGTGTGAGCGTTGGGCGGATAAAAGAAAGAAGTTTGAAAGAGAGTATAACTGTAAAATGCTTGATTCCGTGAGAGAAGTGGTGAAGAAAATGATGTTGGGATGTTGACAGGTTTTTGGTGGTTCCTTTGGGTATGGTTTTCCCGATGAATGTGTAAAAGAAAAAATGGGAATCGGGTGATAGCAGGGTATCAGGACAGATGTTTGCTTTAACCGGCCTTTTGATCCTGATGTTTGGAGTGACAGGAGAGGTTTTTAGTTAGACGCCGACTGTCTCGGAGTATTGACGGGACGAAGTAGTGTTAAAGGTCTAAAGCCCTCAGACATCTCGTCCTGGCGAGAATATTAGGAACCCAGCACGAGCTGGGTAAGTCACGTATCTGTATGCAGATTTTCCTTCTTTCTCTTTAAAGGTATAAAAAAAGTCCTTTACCTTCCGTATGAGATGATATCCCCTGATAGAGAATGAAACTATAGAAAAATTAACTTTGATCAAATAAAAGGCAAACATCTAGCACAGTTTAATTAATTTAATCTTGCCCAAGTACTTTCCCATTAAATTTATTAAACTGTGCGCGATATTTGCCTTTTCTTTGATCAAAGTTTATTTTTTCGAGCATTTAACCTTATATCAATTTATAGAAAAATTAGCTGATGATTCACTGAATCTATAGAAAAATTGAAAATTGCTGTTAATAAGATTATGGCAAAGGGACGTTAATCAGGGAGAGCCAAAAACCATTGGATCCGAAAGAAACATAACATTTACCTAACTGGAAATCGTACCCGGCCAAACACATGGCAAAATATATATTGGATGAACATGTGCTAATAGAGCTGAAGTACTACGGAAAACAAGCAGAAATCAGTTCGGAGCCATAACAGACTTCCTTGCTAAACATGCGTCAGTTGAGGGAGATCTGCGTACAATGGACCTGTTTTATGAAGACTAAAACTACGGACTTTATAGACTACCAATTGACTCCAAAAACATATGGTACCCATCTTCTACAGCTATTTACAAGCTGGTACAGAGTTTTAAAATCCTACAATGTGTATCATGAGTGAATAGAAAATATACAATTCACCATTGGCTGCAGTATGTTTAATTTACAATAAATGGCTTCCATGGAAAGAAATCGTCCAAATCAAAGTTTATTTTTGATTTAGTTATGACGGCTATGTTTATCTTATAAATTTTTAGTTGTTGTTTATTTCATGTCCTTTGAATCGTTATTATATTTAATGAAGAAAAATCAATGCATGTATAGTTTACAACTAGAAATATTCAAAACATTCCCGTTTGTATACGTAACAACCAAGTTCTTCTTCTTCTTCCAATGGCGCTACAGCCCAAATTGAGCCTTGGCCTCCTATAACTTCTGCCTCCAACAAAGGCGATCCCACGCCACTCGTCTCCAAGCCCTGACGTTCAGTAAGTTGTGCGTCCAAGTTACATCCTCAATTATTTCAAATATTTAGTTATAACATTGGCCATCAAGGTCCATGCAATAAAGAAGTTTAAAAGGATTTATGAGTCGTGCAAAGTCTAAAAGTGGCTTCCCACGATCGGCGATTCTACAGATCATCGCGGACAGCCGATCAGCACGTACGGCAACGCACCGCAGACAGAGCTCTTCCTATGGTCCGTGACAGTCTGTGTAGATCCGTGACAGTACTGTTTGATTATATCATAAAAAGGCCACTCAGGCTTGTAAACATCATCAGCTCCACTACCAGTTCCCATCCATTCTCTATCTTTTGTATGCCTTTTGTATGTAAGCATTAAATTATTTTTCTTTTTTTTTAATTCTTTAATCGAAATAGTACTACTCTTCAATTGATTTTTTATTCGGTTCCATGCATCGTTCCGGTTCTTATGCTCCGGCGCAGTGAAATTTCATAAACTTGGTTCATTTTGATACAAATTTAAAAAATCAAAAATAACTTCGTTTGTCTATTTCATTTTTTAGCAAAAAACTGCAAAACAACTTTGACAACACTACAGACATCTACTGGTACCAGCGAATGAAAAACTTCTGACTTACACTTTAAAACACAGACGCGCTAGGATCGCGTTGCACGAGCATATACCGCACCTTTGATGTTAGCGACTCTAGATGGATAGGACGCACCAGCACGGACGTGCCTGTGCTACCACGGACGAGACCTTTCCCAAGGGTGCGTGGTGCGGGCTGGTCCGCTTACGTCCGCAATATCGCCGATCGTGGGAAGCCGCTATAAGACTATCTAGCTCCTCGATAATTCACAGTGAGTAAAGAGACTCAAGAATAAGTAGAAAAAGATCGTTAGAGTTCGTGTAGAATATTACAAAAAAACAAAACTACTATGTCTACGTTTATAAAGACATTAAGGAACACAATTCATTGGGGCGAGGAAGATTGGTCTGAGTAAATGAGGGATGAATTATCCGAGCCACAATGCTCATTAAGCTCTTCATCAGTCCCCACTGTTTCGTCTTATTTGCTTCATATGAGAGTCTAGGGAACAAAGAGTATGTCGTCTTCACTAAATAATGCGAGAAAGCATGAAGCTTTATATTCCTGCTGTCATCTTTAGTGACTTATCATCATAGTGCTGTGCTTGCCCTAGGTATCTAAGAAAAAGGAACATCATCAAGTGGTTAACATTAATATAGTTTGTCATTCTCGCGATCTGAACTTGATAATTTCTTCGGATAGAGTTACTCAATTATCTGGTCTTCTTAATATTCTTTAAATACTCATTAACATTTTTTGTTTTGGTCTTCTGTGCCTCTATCTGTGCAAAACATCATACCCTAACATCTCTTAAAGAATCTGGTTTGGATGATCTAATTGAGCGAATTTTATTCTGGCTTTTTCCTTTATTGTCTTCAGCACTCTTAATTGTTTCTTTGAACAAAAAGGGCGTATCTGCTCGTTTGCAGCTTCTCTAAGGCGTTTATTGTGGGCTTTTTGTATTCTTTTTATTTACGTTACACGTATGGCCCCATGCAAGCGATGCATATGTGATTATAGACAGTATGATGCTGTTGATATCAGTCTCATCTCTGGTTTCATCAACTAATTTGGTTTGTATCTCTGTAAGTTCTCTAGTAGCGGCTCTAACTGAATATGTCTTATATATTGTTGCGTTTACATAAGACACAGATACATACACACACGAACACACACACACACATATAAACACACACACACACACACACACACACACACACACACACACACACACACACACACAAATATATATAAATTAAAAAATCTAGACTACTTTACTTACCTTTGAAAAGCAGTTTTATACAAATTAGCTAAACTGTTTTTGAGATCGACAATCATAGGATCCTTGCCGTCACTTTTCAATACTGTCAGCAACCAGAACTGTCTGTCAGCATCAAAGTCTTCTTCACTATCATCTAGATCAGTATCATTAGAATACGTTGGACTAGGTCTAATGTCACCGTCAGGTACGTTCGGAGATGTTACGCAGTCTATGGAACATTTTGTGGCATTTGGTTTTGAAGTCTGTAAAAATAGGGAAATTGTGCCTGTAAAATAAATACTTATACGGTTCAAAATATGTTGGAATAAGTTGTATTTGTTCCTGGATAACACAAAATAAAAATGAACTGAAATATATGCATTGTACTTTAAACATTTTGGAATTGAGGCTACAAACCATCTTTGGTAATTCAGTATCATATTATTATTAGTAATCAGTTGTCTAAAAATCCAAATTTATATTTTTTTAAATATTTTGTGTAATACTAACCTCATTGTATGCAGAATTGGGTGATTCGATGAACACAGTAGTAACAACAGTTTTTGTCTTATAAATAGTCGATGGATTTTCTTCGGAGCCCCAGTTCTGATCGTCGTCAGCTCCATCTCCTGACCCAGTCCAGAAAAAGTCTTCGAATTTGTATGGTCCTTGGTCCCTGTAGTTGCTTTCCAGAAGAAGGAGTTCTGAAAAAAATTAAATTTAGTACTAAATAACTACTCAAACAGTTTTAAGACAATTTTTATATATACAAAGTTTATTATACGACGAGAAGAAGGTAAAAAACCACCTACAAACTTGAATCCATAAGACTAATATTTACGGCCAGATTTAAATAAACAAATTGTCTATGCAATTAACAAATTTAATTTATATTTAAAAAGAAGCTGATAAAATAACATAAATATGAGATATAAAAATTATAGATAGATAGTTAGATACAAAATTTGTTCAAATAATGAAAAGTTAAATACCAAGAACTAATTACTAGTATGGCACAATTTAAAATTCATACAAATAATAAGCTGTAAATGTAATTAGAGTTAGTTATAGAATTTATATTTAAATGACGCTCTGGTTGAAAATTCAGCCATTTAATAAATCATAAGTGTTGATATGTGAAATTTTGGATATTTCGTTTGGTTGTAAACAAATTTTATTAATAAACTTGTAGATGTATGTTGGATTATGTGTGAGTGCCTAAAATTCCAAACTTTTGGGAGACATTTGGCCAGAACTTCTCGATATAATGATTGAGTTTGGTATGACCCAAGACAGAAATTTATAGAGAAATGTATATTGGGAATCCGACTTTGCAAGGGATTAAAGTTCGATCAATGCCCCATAGAGTAACTGCAAAATTAAATGCGAAACTACAATTTTAGTATTTATTTAATTTATTCATAAAAATGAGGATCTGTCACTATTACGTCACTGGTTATGACTAGTAGTTAAGAAGTCTACGTCTGTTTATTACCTCCCTCTAAATTTCACTAATATAAGTATAACCGTTCAAAAGATACGAGGGGGTATCGGACTTTTGACTAGCAGTGTATATGTAGAAACAATATTTAATCTATTAAGTTATTGTTAAAAATAGTGTAAATTTATTTTTTTTTCTTATAAAATAATTAATAAAAAAATATAACAATGTACTTAAATAAATATAATAAAGTCAAACATGTACGTCAATGTGGGAAAATTTTTTAGAGGAAATTCCTTTGTTTTCTTAATATGGTAACCTCTATAGAATAGTTTATTTTTATTGCGGTTGGTTTAAACATATTTTTTATTAGAATTCTTTTAAATGTAAATAATTTGTGAAGCAAGTATTTTACAGAATTCCAATATAAATAAATTGGTACGTTTAGATTTTCAAAGTATTTGTTTTTATAATATTTGTTGCTTATTATATAATACGTTTGGTATAATTTTTTTTTAATTTGAAACTGCTTGAACCACAAGGGTTATTAGCAATGGTCGATTTTAGAGATAACATAAATATATAAAAAAACAAAGAATACAATTAGATTTTGTTGATTACTCCTGAGGAAACCAAAAAAGTATGATACGATGGTGGTCACTATGTTCACTTAGAATGTCTTTTATTATTGTAGGTAACTGTTCATGTTGTCTTTCAAATGCGTACAACGAACACTCAACTAATAAGTGATGTACTTTTAGACCACTATCACACGGTAACACAAAGATTTGGGTTGCTTGTGTAGTAGGAAATCATGGTTGATCTTGGTGTGTCCTAATCGTAGTGTGGAGGTGATAACTTGATATCTTCTTTTCATAGATTGCCTCAATGATAGGACAGTTTGTTTTATGGATGTAAGGTTAGAATTAGAACCATCCCATGTTTCCTGCCATTTGTTCAATATTTTCTTTTTAAAATATTGTTTGACATCAAGGTGGTGAATAACTTGACAATGAAATTGGTTCTCATACTTGTTTTGCAATGTTGTCCACTCTTTCATTTCCTTTTATTCCACAATGTGAAAGTGTCCGAAAAAACTGAACAGTTCGATGATTGATTTGGCATATCATGAGTTCCGACTCAAATAAACTCAAAATAGGGTGTTTAGTAACAAGTTTGTTTAATCAGGATAATGAATTCAATGAATCACTAATTATTAAGCTATTAACAATGTTATTTTCATTGACGAATTTAATTGCCTGAAGAGTGGCAAATAGTTCAGCAGAGAATATAGTGAATTGCTTAGGGAGTTGAAAGGACCGTTCTTCGCCGGTCGTTAGAAATGCAGCACCTACTCCATTTTCCGATTTTGACGCATCAGTATAAATGTGGATGGACTTGTGATGACTATTTAACTTTTCTAAGCTTTGGTTTTAAAAAGGTGTGATGAAGTATCAAATTTTTTAAATGATTTACGACTGAAATCGCGCTTTAGAAGAAATATTATCCATGGTGGAGGATTATCAGACTTTGTAAGTGTGTATATAGGACGTACAGTTACTTAGAATTGTGCTGATACGATGATAGAATGATGGATCTAATCTTCTTCTTTACTAAAACGTCGAGAAAAATCTGTCAGCAAAAGTGTTTCTAAAAACAGGAATGGTTGGATTTGCCGCCACCCTTGTAGCATATGAAAGACTTAAATATTCCCTTCTAAGCTGAAGTGAAGGCTTCCCAGAGTCACAGTATATACTCTTAACAGGGCTTGTGAAATGTGTCCACAATGCTATCCTAATTGCGGAATTACTGGATCGAGAATTTTTAGAATTGAAGTTTTTGCCAAGTTGTCTGCCACCTAATCAAAATTTGAGCGAATTAGGAATCTGTATAAAGTCATTAATGTTTGAAAATCTGCGCTCCATTGCTTGTGAGCTATATTTCTTAACAGATTTAGTCCATTTTGTATAGATTGTCGAAGAAAGTGCACATGTTCTTTCCAAGTTAACCGATTATCTAATTTCATGCCAAGAAAATCCGTAGATTTTACATATTCAATAGAATCGTTATTTAACACTAGGTTTGGAGGAATTAAACTAGCTCTAAAGTGTTTTCTGAAAAGCATAGCTTTTATTTCATTGATTGAGAACCGAAGACCAGTAGTATTAGACCAGTTTTCTAGTTTTCTAATGGCTCCTTAAATATGATGTGATATTGATGATAAATTTTTCCCTCTTGAGTAGATGACCAAGTCGTCCACAAATAGGTAGGCTTTGACTAGATGTGCAAGTGAGTTGGCAATATTATTGATTGCAATAAGAAATAAAGTAACACTAAGTGTGGACCCTTGAGGAATACCGTTTGATTGGGTTTTAATATCAGAATAAGTATTGTCTATTCGAACTTAGAAATGTCGCTTTAGGAGAAAGTTTCGGATAAAATGCAAGATGTTTCCTAGAATTGATCAGCTTGACAAGTTATTTAATCCTTAATTCTTAATAATATCTTGTCTATAAATTGTGTCGTAGGGCTGAGTTATATGGAAGAAAACAATACTGCCTACAGCCAAATGATTAATGTACTACATACTCTATGTCTACTATGTTATCAGTAGTAGACCTAGATTTTCTAAAGCCGCTTTGAATTGAGCTAAGAAGTCTATTTTCCTCTAGTTACCACAGTAATCTATTACTGACCATTTTCTCGAGTACTTTACACATGGAACTTAAGTTCGAGAATTATGAGAAATTTATACCAATCAACAGGAAAGACATTTTTTGTCCAAATAAAATTGTAGAGGTCTAGTAGATATTGCTTGCTTTCTACAAGGTAAAGCATTAAGAAATATGGTTGAGATGTTGTCAGGTCCGGAGGTTGAGTTCTTTGATTGGTTAAGTGTGTTAAAGATCGTATTTGCTTTTGTTAGATCATGTAGTTAGGCTTGTTGATGCTGTTTGAAGTTTGCTTCAAATACTGGCAAGTAGCATTATAAATACAGTGTACTAAATCGGCATGACTCATAGCTCTTGTCAAAATCCATTACCTACTAACTGTCTTGGCAATGGCAAGTGCAACAATTTGCTGAAACGTCGTCAAAACACAAAATTATTCAACGCGGATTCAAATCCGAACATTTTTCATATTTTTTTCAGTATTGGGGGTGGTAGTAAATTCTTCTAGTAAGAGTTTTAGCTTTAGTTTCATTTTGGGATCTTTTTAGAGATCTTTTTTTTGGCAATTTTTTATCATTTTTTTCCATTATAACCCATTATATGTCTTTATAATATAGGTATTATATTTCTTTGGCTATTTTTTTTAACTGGCGAACTTTTAATTCAGTTCCTCGTATTGCATTATTGTAATCCACTGCGTATATAATAGGTTTAAAGTTTGAACTCCGGAAAGCTAAAATTGGCTATAATTGTTTGTATATTCGCTAACATGAAATTTTATAAATTTTTTATTTATATACAAAGTTGACAGAACCGTAGTACAAACCCTGAAGCATTTTGGAATTTACGCCATTTATTCCTTATTTTCTGATGGGTGATTGTGTATGACACATTATTTAACTGAAACCTACATATTCTTGTAAGATTTATATAGAAAACTTTTCAATAAAGGATAAAGTAGTAAGATCTTTTGTTTTCTTTTCTAATCTTTTGATCAATGAGCAATTATCCTTGTGAAATTAATATTTAACGAAAATAAGGAAAACAGGCCGTATAGGTCCCATGGCTTGGAGTTTTTTAACTACGTTTCTTTGTCCTTGGCACAGTTCTCTACTGACTTATGCATATTGTTTTAAAGTCCTCTTGACAAGCTTCCAGTAACTGTTCCGTGATATTTCTCTTCTTCAATTCTCTGCTACTCTCTGGAGGGAGTCTTTTATCCATCTTCTTTCCACTATCCTGACCATTTGCTTCTGGTGTATTTCAGGTTTACCGTACAACTTTAAAATTTCTGCGTTTATTCTTTTCCTCCAATGGTTTTCTGCATGTCTCGCTCTCTCTAAATTTTTTCTCAAATCATTTTACGTAATTTCTGGTTTTTGTTCATAATCCAGGTTTAACTGTGGCCCTTCAATGGTTCTCCTTCGTCTCTCAATCTTTATTTCGCTTTCTAGGTTTTTTGTTCAATTGTTTATTATAGTAATCCCTAAGTACTCAAACTCATACTTTTTTGAAAAAAATATTTTGTCCTCTTATTGTTTTTGTTTGTAATCTTTTTCCTGTTTTCGTCCTGTTTTATTTCCATATACAT